GGCATTCCCCCGGAGGAGCTGGAGGAAGTGTCTGGAGAGAGGGAAGTCTGGGCATCTCTGCTTAGACTGCTGCTCCCGCAACCCGGTCCCGGATAAGCAGAGGAAAATGGATGGATGGATGGACACTGCTAACTACTGCTGCATACTGCTTACAAATGCTAAACTGGGGGATTTAAAGTGTTGACTGGCCAATTTATTCAAACAAAGAACATGAGACAAGATACTGTGTGCCAGTGTCAACAGTCAGGAGTGAATCCACTGGTTGATGTTGAACAATGTGCTTCATTTCACTCACAACTATCATGTTTTATATTCATATACCCACTCAAGGCATGGACTTTTTCTGATTGCACTTATTTTCTAAATTGCACCGAGACAGTGCCATTTATTTTGTGCAGCGTCTCTCCTCAGCTTTGGTCTCAACTTGAAAAATTGAAGATTCTTCAACAGAACTCATCACTCGTCACACTTTTGATAGATACACTGCAGACTGTGCATATTATTTATCTTAGATGGAGTGTTCTCCTTGGCACTGAGCTTTCAGAGGCCAATACATAGATACGCTGTATGGCTGAACTGGACCTTTCCAGGCAGATTTTCACTGCAGTCCACTTCCTTACCCCCCTGTGATTTTTGTTTGTGTGGGCTTCATGAGGGAAACTGTTAAACTAAGCTGAATGTTGAGAGCCATTTTAAATCATCTTTTACAGATGGACATTATAATATGCACAGAAATGCTCCAGCGTAACCTAAATCGTTACCGTGTGAGCTGCTGCTCCACTGAAGCTGAAATCTTTCACTAAGATAAGAGGATTTTAATGAGACCTCCTCAAAAGGCAGAGCTGGAATTTGTCGGTTTTCATTTAATGATGGTGCTACTGCCTCTCTGACTGATAGTAAGGACCATTTCACAATATACCCATTTCTCCTCTCCAGTTTATAATCTCTGAACTAATATTGAACTTCCTTATCATCGCCAGAAACCAGAGGGAACAGATTCTACTGTATGTGTGTAGGAGCAGTAGTCAGGAAGACTCTGAATCTTTTGTGACTTTCATGATGAGAAGTGTTTAACAAAAACGTCAAAGATTAAGTTAGAAAGAAGGAACTAATACAAACACCTCTTTTGTGTCCTGCACGTCTGCAGATCAGCGTGTGCCAGAAAGACTGGAATCTCGGGGCTCGGAGTGTTTGTGGTAAAGAGTAGTTTCAGATGGATGGAAAATCTTTACAGGACAAAAGATACGAAAAAGTTCACACAGTCATATGTAGCTATATGTCACATGCTTACCTTAAGAGAGACTGGATGTGTGCTCACCACAGCTCAGCCTGGAGACATAAAACTCCAGGCTGAGATGAGGAGAGTCCTTTGATTTACAGTTTATTATTCAGGGGATGGTACCAGCTACTACAGCTATACTTGTTTCATCTGTGCTCTTTGCTGTATGAGTGTAGGTAATGTTTTTACTCAAGTATTGTACTTCAGTATAATTTTAAGGTGTTTGTACTTTACTCGGGTATTTCGATTTTCTGCTACTTTATACTTTGACTTTATTACACTTCAGAGTAATATTCAAATATTCTACTTTACTCGAATACATTTAAAAAATTTGACGTAGTTATTTTTTAGAATCAGATTATAAGTACAAAATACAGTATAAACCTGATTGATCCTGCGTGGGAAATCCACAAGAGCAGTATTTAAGGATAATCACCTTTATTTGGCCAAGTATGTTACACACAAGGAATTTGTTTCTGGTACAAAACTGAGGCAGTCATCTGTAGCGCCACCTCATCCGATGGCTCTAACCATCGGGGGCAACGGGGGGGTTCAGTGTCTTGCTCAAGGACACTTCGACATGTGAACTACAGGCACCGTGATTTGAACCTCCAACCCTCTGGTTGGGAGACGACCACTCTACCCACTGAACCACATTCGTTAGATTCACTGCATATGATCATCAAAACAGCATACTTCATCTGTACAAGTCGCATCATTAAAGTGATGTACACAGTAACGTATTAATCATTTAATCTTAATCCAACTTTTACTTTTGGTACTTCACATATATTTTGATGCTGATTCTTTTGTGCTTAAGTAACATTTTAAATGCAGTATTTTTACATTGTGGTATTGCTATCTTTACTTAAGCACAGCAGCTGAATACTTCTACTACTGTGTTGGTCCGTTGGCCACGAGCCTAGAGCTCCACTAACCTGAGTGTCAGGTGTTAACACGCCAGTCTTTATGATGATGTCACAGGTGTCCATTGAGTAGCACCTTCACCTGTTTGAACCCTTAGTCCATTCTATACCAATACTGCAACTTTAACAAACAGTACCATACAAAAGGTACCTCCCTGTACCATATACAGTACCTCCCTTTGTTCCTGATTTACAGTAAAGTAAGTGGGCCTCACACCCAGCTCCTCATTATTGCCCCCTCCACTTTCTTTCTTTGTTCAACTTTTCTACTTCCTTTGTCTTTTTATTTTTGTCTTCTGCACTTCTTAGTGTATCCCTACAATTTAAATGTAAATACCTCTGACATCTATGAAAAGGGAGAGGAGGCTGAACTGTTTGCTCACCTTTAATGTGTGATGTATTTAAGTTTTTAAATATTGAAAACTTCTGCATGAGTCTTGACCAGCAACATCACTGCTGTATTATATTTGGTACTCCTCCCTCCTGATCAATTATCTTTTCTCCTCGCTTGTCTGTTCAGTATGGGTGACAGAGTGGAGACTTACTGCTTCTGCTCACGTTGCTACTCAGAGATAAATGCAGCAGACGTAACAAGTCTGTGACCCATTCTTTGCCTGCACATACAGTACTGTATGCAAACGCCTTTCTCCATAATAATAAGTGTCTGAAAAACTGACACTTTCATAGACTTTAATTAACAGAGTGTGTCTGTTATGACGAGAACTGCAGAGTGGCAGAAATAATAATCAGTCTGAGAAACCCTTTGTGGTGCATCGGGTTCGTGTAGTGTATTCAGGACAGATTTGACAAATTTATGTTGTAGCTGTATTTGTTAAAATGATAGATTTATAGCAGCTTATCAGTCAAGCCATGCAGCACTCGTATACAAATCTTTGATGGCTCAGAAATTATGTGGCTAAATTGACCATCTGTCTCTGCCATCTTATTCCTTTATTTTCACTCCTATCTCTTACTGCAGTATCCTCATTGGTTAAATCTGCACTAAAATCAGCTAGATGCAGTTGTATGGGAGCTTCTGTGCAAGACTTGTTCTTGCCTGGGAGCCCCAGCTTTGTTTTGCAGGTTAAGCAAACAAAATATAACCTGGTCATTTGTGTGCACTGCTAGGAAGATTTGGTCACCCTGTAGTCATCATGCTAACCAAGCTAAGCTAATAGCCTAAAGATGCAGTATCAGAGTGGCAATTTTCAGTCAAGACAGCGAATAAGTACATTTCCCAAAAAATTTTTTATTTTTCCTTTAAATTGTACCAGTAGCCAGACTTGACTAGGAAGCAGGCAACCGTGTCCCTTAGTATGAATATATTCTATGATGGTTCTAGTTTCTTCCTGTAGTCAGAAGAGAGTCCTGAGAAACTGTTTTGATCTGTTTTCAGGTTCATATTTGTTACATTTCCTGCCTCCTGCTGATGGAGTTATGTCCTCCAGGCAGTGCCTCATTGTGCAGACTATTCTGCCTTCTTACTGTAAATGGAGATATTTTTACTGTACATTAAACCTATCTCTATGCATTTGTTCAGTAATGCATGTCCCGCGTGGCAGTGTAGCGCACAAAAGGAAGACACAAAGCCACTGCATAGTCATTCTCAGTGGCTCACAGTGCCAGCTGACAGCTGCAGCTACAGACATCCAAGCTGCTTCTGTTACAGTCAGCTCACTGTCAACCTCTGCACAATTGCAAAG